CAAGAAATAGAAAACTTACTGATTACACACACACACACACACACACACACACACACACACACACACACACCCCCAACCAACCAAAACACTGTCAAGAGCACTATAATCCCAGTACCCAAAAGGTTACAAGAAGCTAAGTAGAATGATTTCAAGTCTGAGGCCAACCTCAGACCTACAATAGTCTAGACTATACAAGACCCTTCCTCTCAAACAACCAAAATAAATAGAAAGAAAAGAACCTCCCTTCAAAAAACACTAGACTAAATTAAATTCTTATTTTATCAATAGAGAAAACTACCAATACTTTTTCGGTCAAACTATTTAATTGCATGTTCAGGATGGTAATAATTTCTATGTCAGCCTAAACTCACCTTTTGAGTTAAACCATTACACACACACTCCAGCAGTCTCTCTATACATCTTCATCTTTTAACTAAAGCTTTTATAAAGTGGAGTTAAAATAAGGCAGTTTAAATGCCAGCTTCCTTTCACAAACTACCCCATTATTTCTCACTCAATGATTCTTGCTTAAATAAAGTGTTTGTTTGTCTGAGACCAGGTCTCACTATGTAGCCCTCGCTAGAACTTGCTTATAGACCAGGCTGGCCTTGAATTCAGAGATCCAGTTGCCTTTGCCCCCCTGGGTGCTGGGATTAAAGGCATGCACTACCAAGCTTGGTGGCATTACAATTTAAAAGGTCATGTATGACCTAGAAATAGAATCAGCTCAGTAAAAGATTAATAGATTTAAGCATATCCATATAAAAAGTGCTTTTTTAAAAAAGGTCCAGGCTGGAGAAAGGGCCCAAGAGGTTAAGAGCATTTACTGCTCTTCCAAGAGGACGCAGGTTCTGTTCTGACATCCACATGGTGGCTCACAACTTCCTGTAACTCCAGTTCCAGAGGATAATCCGATGTTCTCTTCTGACCATCTCAGGTTCCTGGACACATACACAGTGCCCATTCATATAATCAAACATACACATACATACATAAAATTTAAAGATCTTTTAAAAAGATCTTTATGTGCTTATACAAACAAAGCCATTATAATTGGCCTGGGAAATGAGTGCAGAGAGACAGGCAGGCAAGGGAGCACAGAATTCAAGACTATCTGTATTGCATGCTATTATGTGTATAAATGGAGATACACATATTTACTTGTGTAAAATAGTGTTTGTGAAGACACTGGGCAACAGTGGATTAGAGAACAGAGGCTATTATTTATGTTTTGTACTATAACCATCTGAATAATTTAAAAAACAAAACTGAAAATACAAAAGGAGGGGGGTCACTCCTTTTTACTTCACCAAGAATCTTCTCTTTCTTTTGATTGTTTTCTAATGATAGGTAACTGTTCCCAACAGTTTCTTGAGAGTAAAGACAGTGAAATTCCTCATTAGATTTGTGGAACGTTCTGGCTCAGTATATTCAATACAGGAAGTTTGGAGAAATTAAGACATCTGCAGAAGGCTCCAAAGGTAGGAAGTTCAAGCTAAGGTGGACAAACAGGGCTGGGTGTTGGTGGCAGACGCCTTTAATCCCAACACTTGGGAGGCAGAGGCAGAGGCAGGCGGATCTCTGTGAGTTCGAGGCCAGCTGGTTACAGAGCGAGTGCCAGGATAGGCTCCAAAGCTATACAGAGAAACCCTGTCTCGAAAAACCAAAAGGATGGACAGTTATAATCTGCTGAAGACCCACCTTAGGAAAAGTACTTTCTATTTATCTAAAAAAAAAAAAAAACAGAAGTATTTGCTGTTATTATAATTTTACAAATGAGGAAACTGAGGCAGAGAAAGCTGTCACATTCCCTTGGTAGGTATGTTGACAGGGCTGGCAATGTTAGGATTCAAAGCCAGACTTGTAACTTTTCCAAAGCAGATAAGACACTGTTTCATAAGACACTGTTTCATGATACCGGCTGTCAACCGTAAAGTGTTAAATATTCAAATCACCATGGACTACTGTCAAGTGTTACAGCAATATAGTCAAGTTCACACATGCTCAAGCAATAAACTACTGTAATTATCTATTTTCTAATATCTGCTATATTCTTAAAATCAGATTTGAATGCTAACTATTCAGAATACAGAAGCTAGTGCTAGAAGTAACACAGCAAGAGAGATGTCTACATGAATGTATAACTGGAAAGTTCACACCGATGTATCTGCCAATCTACCTGTTTATGGAATTATTAACATTTTACATTTCAGTGGCATAGTGTAAGCACTGTCACAAGTAAACAATGTTGTCTACTATTTTTAAAAAAGGCATATAAGATTAAAAAAATACATACTTGGTCTTCCACAACTACTTTCAACAAACAAAAACAAGTGCCTTAGGAGCTACTTCTCTAAGAACACTAAAATATCTACTAATTTAGAGCTGATCTGTGAGTTTCTGAACATGAAAAAAGGAAATTTATGGATCAGGTTTCTGTTTCTTCAGGCTCTTGAGTGAAATTTTGTTCACAAGTGGTTAACACTAGTTTCAAATTCCAAAAGAAATGTTCATTTAGTATCCACTAGGTAAATTCTTTCAAATAATTCATTAGTTTTTTAAATGCACAGGTCAATCCGAAAAAATGAGAGAGAGAAAGGAGGAGGGAAAGGAGGGAAGCAGACACAGCTGTAATTTTTACCAGCCCCTGGGAGACAGAATTACAATTCAGTGACAGGTTCCAGGTGATTGCTTGAAAATTAATGTAGACAAAAAATATTCCAAGTTTCACTTGCAATTGCTGAGAATCAATTTGATTCTCCATAAATGACTCCATAAATAAAATTTAAGATATCTTTTGGTCAAGGCTGAAGACAGGACACGACAGGAATAATTTTTTATTCTCACAAGGGAAGAATCCTCTTCATGTATCATCACTATTGGCTGGTAGAAAATCTTTTGAAAACACTATTTTACCATCATCACTTTGTATCACTTCATAATTTTGTGGAAATAAAACTCTCTTCTCAATCCTATGGAAACATTCCCTCTACTGCATCTTAATTTTCTTGACAATGGCAAATTGTCGAAGAGCTAAAGACTAGCAATGCAACAAAGTTTCAGAGTCCTTACTGACACACAGTAAAACCAAACACAATGGCTCTGTTGTCAATCAATATTTATTCCTACCCGAAAATCTTGTATGCATTAATCACAATTCAATTGTACAGTAACTGGTTGTTTTAAAAAAACTGTGCATCTTTCAAAGTAGTAAATAATTATTTGGGGCTTTGCTTTTAAGTCGAGGAAATGATCAGTAGGTGCACAAGATTTTAATAGACAGCCCCAAAGTATCTTATGCTAAGTTGTGAGGCCAGATGTGATGCAAACTAGAATCAAATAGATCATACTGCAATGCTCTTAGAAAATGTCTTTCAATCTTTAAAGTATCGATAACTTTTTGACAGTCCCCTTTGCCAATATTCTAGATGAAGGGAAAAAGAGAAACACCACAACTTCTGTCATCAACCTCAGACTTGAGATTGCCTACTACACAATATACAAATAATGGACAGTTTCAATGACCATGTTTAGAGTGAGAATTATATCAATCTTCTATTAAAGTTTAGACAGACGTGTGTGAGAAACATAGTGGTGAGTGAGCAAGATTAAGGGGAGATCCGATGACTCAAAAAACCTTGGCAAGACTGCCCCCCTCCCCCCAGTGGTATAAAACAAAAAGTACTTCGGCTAATATTCGTTTCTAAGAAGGGTTTCAGAATGATTGACCTCAAGTGATTATTATCTTATTGGAAAGGGTTAAAACCGAAACTGTTTTCAAACATGAGCTTCCCTTTTACAAGATCCCAACAGTTTCTGTAAAAAGTTATTACAAATGTTCTTAGCACCCCTTTCCTTCCCAAAAGAATGCATTTCCATGACTACTGAGTTGTTTTTTTTATTCTTCATCTTCAAAACCGAAGGGTGTGGGAAATAGTCAAAAATCCTCCTTCGAGCAGCCAAGGGCAGAAAACAGCATTTTCTCCAACCGCGTGGGAGCAGGGGAGAGGGGCAAGAATAAAATACAGCACCAGAGAAAACCTTGGGTTTCGAACTTTATTGCACAAAGAGCAGAGAGGAAAGCAGGTCGGACGCTGCAGCT